CCATCCCTTAGCAGTGGCTGGATCGCGAAGATAATTTTCATTGTACTCGCAGAATGTGCACTTTTTTTCCAGACGTTACCCCTCACTAGATGCGTGTTCTAGTAATTGACTAAGATAGGGGCGGTAATTTTCCTTGGATTTTGAGAAGAGAAATGCCTCTGTGGTTACCAGGGTGTTTCTACTTCCTCACGTCTGTGAATATGCTCGATATTGACGTCCTTGTTCCCACGCCTAGTGACGCAATGAGGCAAACTTCCCCGTGAGTTGTATGCCGCCATATTTATAAACTGCGTCGGTTTTACTTGCTTTTACACTGCTCATTGAGGAAAGGCGGGTGATTGGGGTTGCCGAAACGCCGCCCCCTCGGCTTGTGTACAGTAGAGGACTTTGATGGCAACGGATCAGTTCTTCATGACACCAAGGTCAGCCTATCCCTGTGCGTTCTCAACAATGCGAGCCAACTAGTCGCTCTGCATCTCCCTCAGGCTCCGCTGCCCTAGGCGTCCACCTCGGAACTAGGTGACGTTATTGCATTTGATAATCTACTTGTATTTTTTACGGCTGCGATCATGGCTGATCTAGCCGACCTCGATAACGTACCGTATCGCGCTTTTCCACGCGCGACGATCCGTGGCAGCAGACCTGCACTGTTAGAGCCATTCTCTTCGCCAGCGCCGGGGACCGAATACCGAAAGTCCGAGAACCACTTCCATGTCCTGACGTACTGAGTCGACCCAAGTTTTTAGCTGAACCTCCAAACCATTTCAGTCTTCCTTCTTGGATTGCCTGGGATATCTTTGCGATGTTGACCCAGCGAATGCGAACTGTCTCATTTGAGATGAAGTCGGTGTACTTCTATCAATTACCAGTCCTCAAGCAGTAGTAGTAAAAAACTTCCAGTATCTGTTCATCTTCCACGCGCATAGCCCAGCATTCGCAGCCGCATAGAAGAACGCACCTCATAGGTGTACGGTACACGCAGAGCCTTGCGGTAATAGACATACCGCGTCGGGTCCATAAGCACTTTCGAGAAAATTCGTGAACCTGCGTTAATTCGGGAGGCACTGTCATCCTTACTCTGTCCACTCGGCAGAAACCTCGCTCGAAGGTATTTTAAACTGTCTACTTCTTCAAACGGACACCCATTAATCTCGAGGGATGCCTTTTCTTGGGCTGGGATGCAGCATAAAAACACTTTGGGCTTTCCGGTTTTTATGGACAAACCGACCGATTAAACGACCTCGTTCATCCGTGACACCATAGACTGTAGGTCGTCAAAGCTTGACGCCAGTAAAGCGATATCATCGGCATAGTCGAGATCAGTCAAACTGCGCCCGCGTGCAAGCTCACTATCGTCATTTTCACTTAGGGCCTTCCCGAGAACCCAGTCATTGACGTAGTTAAAGGAGATGAGCGAAAGGGTTCAGTCTTGCCAAACGCCAGACCTAATAGGGAAGGGTTCTGAGAGGTTGTAATGGGCCAGGAGCCGCCTGGTGGTAGAGCAGTAGTATGCCTTGATCATGGCGATTATTTTTGGTGGTACACCATCCATTGCCATTATCCGCCATAGAGATTAATGACGGAGAGAAACGAACGTAGCGGCAAAGTCAACAAAGCAGACGGCCGTTCGTTTTTGGTAGCTATGGCGGGATTCAAGGATCCGTCTCAGTGTGAATATCTAACACTGTTGCCGACGGTCCACGACTATGAGCCTCAAGATCCTGTTTTTAGGCAGCTTGCCTTCATTCAAGGCTTTCTCACTATGCACTAGTAGCCAGACAAGCTGGGAACTCGTCTTTCACAGTCCTAGAGGGGTACGCAGCAGCTTTCAATAGCTAGTATATTGCGGACAACAGCGCTGATAAGCCGCGCACTTTGCAACCCGTTCTCAGTGCCTTCCGTTTTTAAGCGTATGGTTCAAACGCAAAGGCGTCGTCCACCGTTCTCCGTTTGACTGGGAATCCTAATCGAATCCGCTTATATCGGGCTTTTTGAAAGTGTATGCGGCCTTCTGTTCAATATAACTAATTAATTAGGGTTGTGACCGAGAAGGATTGGCTTACGAGTCCGGATCGGCAAGTCGAAGTGGGAAAGATTTTGTGAGATAATGACTATCTCGACCGTATAAGGTCACTACGCTTATATCCGCGCTTGGGTAGTTGTTTGAAGCTCAGAAGGGAACCCATCTAGATTTCCTTGAATAATCCTTGCATCGGCGTCCTTATATATTTTCATCTTCGGCTCCAGAATCCTTGATGGCACGTTCGCTTGCTTCACCTATCCGTCAATAGACTCTAAGTTCCGTCTGGCAAACTTTGGGCCAGGATAGGATGCATCAGTGTCAGTCTATTGAGGGAAAGATAGACGAACGCCTTTGGACTCCCTATTGGTAACAAGATTATAGGAAATATATGGATGCAAAGAAAAATTGAAAAAAAGTACGTCAATTACATGATTTCTGGGGAAAACACAGCAATCGTTGGTTACTCGTCGAAATGGTAATAAAACATGAATAATCGCTTATCACGAGCAGTATAACATAATGCCTGTCCTTTGGTTATCAGGCGGCTGGGGAACGATGCGTCTGGTGCATGTCCAATTTTCTCTTAAATGAATTAACACAGGCGGGGAGGACAACCTCTTCGGGAAGGGTGTTCAACGCTGCAACCACTCTGTTACTAAAGTACTTGAGAAGTACTAAAGCCAAAAAAAAACAGGAGAAAGGGACTCTCCATTATACAAATGGCCTAGCGCCAAATTCTATTGAAATTAGGCCTAAGGTTTGGCCAAGGCTTAGTGCTGGGATTAGGACATAAAATGTCTGGTCTGGCCATTGCGGGTTTGAGCTCTACAATTGGGTGGCAGCGAAAAGTAAGTCAGCGATAATCATTCATTTCCCTTGCGTTGACGATCGCGGTGGGTCCTCCTGCTTTCGTCACCTTGTCAGCAGACTCGGCAATCAGCAAGAACGTATCATGGTCATACCTGCGGCACTTCGGTGATGATTTCGTGACCTCCACGGTCACCCCCCCCCGTTGCTAACATCAGTATACTGATGATGTCCGCGATGGACTCCCCTGTCTTGCCACACAGATCATCATCAGCGACAGTTTTTTCTCCTTAAAATCCCTCAACTCGCATTCAAACTTCTGTAGTTTGCGAGAAAATGTCCAAGAAGTTTTTGTTCATACCGTCTGTTGACTCGTGTCGTTTGGGATCGCCATTGAGTCGAGACACTATTCCCAAGGAAATAATGACATATGCAATTACACTACTCGTAGTAAGCTGCCGGCTGCTACTGTGTAGGTGCGTTTCTTGGTCACTGTGTCACTAATAGGGAGCTCAAAGGCGTTTGCCTATTTTTTCCCTGAATAAAACTGAACTGATCATCCCCGTCTCGTCTTTTTGTGCCGACAATACCTTTTGCCTACTGTCCGCTGTTTGGCCATCACTGTGAACCATCTAGATCCGAGTTTCAATGCAGAACGGACTCGCTGGCATTCCTTCTTACAGTACAAAAATGGGTCGGTGAAGTCTGCTGTCTTGTGATAGACTGGAAACTGAGCTGAACTAATCAGCCCTGTCTCGCCATTTTTACTGGCAGTACTTTTCGGCCCTTTCTTCGCTCTGGCAATCCGCTCTGAGATAGGCTCAAACGCTAAGAGAGTGGCATACACCTACTTCGTTATGGCTACTGCCCCCATGCTGTCCTGTGTTTGTGGTCCACTGTGGAGGAGCACGTACTCAGCATCCTCTTGTGGGACCTTTATTTCTCTCGATCCAGACACTAGAAGACGAACTTCTGACAAACAGGTGACGTCTACCTTACAGTCTCACAATGCGCGTGCTGTAACAGGGCATCAAGCAATGTCCGCACATTCCAGCAACCAGTGTTCAAGTTGTGTCGCGAATTTAGGGTACTGGCTCGCATATTTGGCATTCCGGGCAGCAGGCAACCATGGAACGCGTCGCTTCCCGGGGACGCCGTAGTATTGTTCAAATTGTGCCGCGAATTTTGAGTACTGGCTCGCATATATGGCACTCCGGGCACCAGGCAACCACAGAGCACGTCGCTTCCCGGGGACACCGCATCAGTATTGAGATCCGTGATATTTGTATTTTCCATGTCGGTCAGCTGTGTCGCCAGTAGGAACCTACGAGGCGTTTACCTATCTTTACCTTAATAAAACTGAATAGAACTGATCATCCACGTCTCGTCCTTTTTTACCGGCAATACTTTTGTCCTACTCTCCACAGTGAGGCATCTAGATCAGAACAAACTCGCTGGCATTTCTTTTTACAGTCAAAGGAATGGCTCGGTGAAGTCTACTGTCTTGTGATAGACTGGAAAAAAATTGTACCAGGACGGAAAGACAAACAACGGAGAATAGGAAATATGCATAGGGGCTTTCCAGTTATTTCTACCCCAAGTGAATGTGACGCCCTTGAGTTCGTATAGTATGAAAATGATAGTTACCAAACCTAGACCATGCCCTCCTTAAAAAACATCTAAAAGCCAAGATTGTCTGTCTGTTGATTGCAGGGGTCATCACCATCACCAAATGGAGCGTTGATCTTTTTGGATGTCCAAATGGAACCCTCCTCAGGCGCCCGGTCGCCAAGACAGCGTCTGGCAGTAGGAGCGGGAATTGGCTTTGCAGCGGCCTCTATGGTCTACCTCCTCTCGCCCTTCCTGGCTCCTGCCTTTCGTCGTATATGTCTGCCCTTTGTTCCTGCCACCCCGGACCAACTTCGAAACGTTTGCGAACTTCTGAGGCATGCCCAGGGCTCTGGACGGCGACTGGGCAGGGTCCTGGATATTGGCAGTGGAGATGGCCGTGTGGTAAGCATAATTGCCCCCTCCATTCATTGTTTTATGGGCATTTTGGTTGGCGAATCAACTGTCTTTATTTACGACTGCCGGTAAGGACGAAACCTGTACATTAATTGACCCAGACTGTTCTACTATTACCTATGATTAACGATTCCCGAGGGTATCCGAAACGTCAGGAAAAGAAATCTCTTCTTCCAGTGATCGCTTCTTCTTCTCCTGAGTTAAAATACAGTTTAGGCTGTCGGGGATTAGAAGAAGAGGATGCGATCACTGGAACAAGAGTTTTATTTCCCTGACTTTTCGGATTCCCTCGGGAATCCTTTATCATAGGTGATGATAACATAGTCATAGTCATGCGCAGATGGGGTGGAGACATGCACAGGTTGCACGGTATTAATAGTTTATAGTGGTAATCTGCGTGTGTGTGATAATTGTTCACTTCTGTAGCCACCGCATGGATCTTAATTGATGTGGTACTGGCTTGACACTCCGCTTTCGACTAACTAATTA